TCTTTTGGGGATGGGTCAGACTACTTGGCCACTGAGATCCCTCTTATTTCTTATCCCATCTATTTTTGTTTCCTCCACTGGTTCCTTATTCTTTCCTTGACTCTTTAATAGAGATGTTCTCTGAGGGTCCATTCTTGATAGCAGGAGCTTAACAAATGGTTCTGATTGATTGAGTGGTCCTATTTCTCTTCTTGTTATATGTACTGTCTCTGGTAGCAAACTCATTCATTCAGATAGTGTAGGAGAAAAAAAGCAATTGGCTGTGGAGTTGAAATCCTACCTCTGAAACTGATTACCTGTGTGACCTTGAAGTCCCTTGACCCCTTGGGCCTCAGTTTCCCCATCTGTAAAATGAGAGTTGGCTGAGATGGCCTCTTGGGCTCCTCCCAGCTCTAGATCTATGACTTGCTCTGATTTCAGAGATGATTCTCTGGTCGGAATCTCCAGACTTGACCTTTTTTTCTGAGCTCTACACCCTTACCCCCAAATCCTTGTAGGATAGGGCTGCTGCTGTTCCCCATAAGCAGTCAGTCAACAAGCATTTATTAAACACTTACTATCTGCCAGGCACCAGCAAGTGATCGGGATATGACTAGAGACAAAAACCAAAATCCTTTCCCTCAAAGATCTCCCTGTTGCTAGAGATCATGTGATGCAGGATGTCTTAGCGGGTATTCTAGGTTCAGGGTTGGACTGGACTTGGTGGCCATAGGTTCTATGATTCTAAATGCTTTGGGGAGAAATTATTCAATACATTAAGAAAATCTGACTTCTATATACGTAAGACTTTATAGGGGGCAATTATCATGCCCAGAAACATATCTAAAAGTTTATTTAGAATATTTTGGCCGATAGACAAGAACTGCAGGCGTGCACATAAAGTTAAGATCACTTTTGTCTCTGAAACAACTGAAACTGATGTGGCTAATTATGGGAATAGTATTGTTCTTGGAAGCCACATTTAACGATGCCTTAGCAAGCACTTACTGCACGCAGCCCTTCCCCTCGAGGGGCATAAACTGCCAAGGATGAGCATGTGGATTGTAAGCTGTAGCCTGGATGCATAAAATATTTTCCTATTTGCTTTAGGAGCTGAGGTGATCTCAGTGGCCATAAAATTTAGGATCAGAAAACAGTTAACTTTGCTGCTTTAAAAGCCTGTAATCTTCCCAGCCCCAGGTTAAATGCAGATGGCAAAGGATTTTTATAGGCTGGTGCTGAATACAGTGGCAGGACATTGTGCTTAGCCAAAAGAAGGAGAGAGATTTCCTTGTGTGTTGGAGTGGGGAGAACCCTTGAGCTTCATTCAGTCTAAACCTCATTCTGTGGATGGACAAACCAAGTTTTACAGGGGGAATGTGCTTGGCCCAATGTCACATGACTAGGTGGGGACAGAGCCAAGGTTAGAACCCAAGTGTCCTCAGATAAGACAGCATGTCAGAGTTGTGAGAGGACGGGATCTGCAGTTGGGAAGACCTGGGTTCAGATCCCACCCTTGCTACTTTGTCGTTGTTTGACCATGGCCAATCACTTAACCTATGTTAAGCATCAATTTCTTCATCTATAAAATGAAGGGGTTGGGTTAGGTGGCTTATAAGGCCCTGCCATGGTCTAAATCTATTTTCTGTAATTCTGATTTCCAGGACCAAACTCCATTTTCTGCCTACACCACACGGAATTATGTCCCCAAGTCTCAAATCCTGGGATCTCAGGGTAGAAAGGGATGTCTCCAAAGCATACCTGAACGGGAATCCTCTCTGCAGCATATGCAAGTAGTGTGGGCTGTTGCCATCCCACCAATTCCTAGTTTTCTCCTGTTCTTCTTCAATGTTGAATGCATCTTTCTCTGTCATCAGAGGAGGCAGACATGTGGGCAGTTTTCTCCCTTCTGTCTGTCTTAAATCTCAGACTTGTGAAGCTCCAGGAAAAATATATTTTTACTAGCCCTTGTTAGGTATACTCCATCCCTGGCCAAGAGCCCATCTTTTCTTTATTAAAATAAAGGCCATGGTCTGGAAATCTAAATCCTGTTCTCAGACTTCATCTTCTTAGCCAGCTTCTCACCTCCCAAATCTGTCTTTCTCTTCTGTATCCCCTGCTTTCAATCAACAGTAGTGATGAGAACCCCACCTGTACCCTCAAGGACTTAAGTTTCTTGCTCAGGAGTTCATAATCCTTAGTAATGCCTCCTAGGTTTCTTCTGGCAGAAACATTTGTCTTCACATGAATCACTTGAAGGGTATAACAGCTGTCTAGTCTCAAGAAACTGCCTATCTAGCTCAGATACATTTATCAGAAGACAGAAGATGTCTCTATTACTTATGTCAGATTGCGAATAAAATAAAAGTTAATTTAAAATGAATTTAAACACATGCAAAGATAAATTTGTCAAGCATTGGGGAGCCACTAATATTATTTCTTCTTTCTCTTACTATTACTGAATAACTTCTGGCCTGGTGACATGTGCTAGATAATTAGTCTTTATATAGTGGTTTACATTTTTTCAAAGCACTTTACATGCAATATCTCATTTGATCTTCACCATAACAATGGGAGGAAGGTATTATTGTTATCCCCATTTTATAGATGAGGAAATGGAGACTGAATAGTTAAGTGACTTCCCCCCCTCACACAGCCAGTAAAAGTTTCAGGCAGGATTTGAACAGTCTTCCTGATTCCAAGTCCAGTGTTCCTTTCACTAAGCCACCTTGCTACTCTTAATTGTAAATTCCCTTGTAGTTCTTATGATGCGATCTTGACACTATAATTAAAGCCTAAAGTCCATTCCATCTCCAAATCCTTTGATCCTGTGAACCATATACTATGTTGATGACCAGTTTCCTAAAGGGGCAAGTTAAATGCTAGTAACCTACCCACTTTGAATGAGATGATGTAGGAGCTCTTGCGTATTCCTCAAGGGAAGAGCCATAGTCAGCTGTAAATGAATAGTTTTAAAATGTTAACAGATATGAAAGAAACAGAAGCATGAAATTTAAGCTACTGGTCTTCCCTCCCAATTAATAGGTAGGAATGACAAGGGGAAAAGGAAAGATGTTTAAATGCAAGAAACTGCTTTTTGTTTTTAAAAGAAGATAGGTCTCATTTTACTATGTTACTTGAGAAAAGAGTTTATCATTCATTTAAGTTAAGGGGGGGTGAAGACTTTTTCTTTGACGGTATGGAAGTGACACTGTTGGAGTGTCAGTGCGCCTCCTGGTAACTCCCTTTACATTGTGTATCCAGGGTGTATGCTACTCTGATGTCTTCATATGCACCGCTCCATCCTGAGCAATACCCCCCCATGAATGAATGTATCGCAATTGGCCCCTCTAGTCCCTAGTCACTGGGTACATATTTTGCTTACAGGGTGGTTGTTTTTTTTTTTTTTTGTCATCACAAACAATGCTACCTTGAATATTTTTGTCAATATTGGCTGGGTCTTTTCTTGCTGTCACCTCCTTGGGATACAATGTCAAATAGTCCTATCTCTGGATCAAAGTTTATAAACAATTCAGCAAATTTTCTTACATAATTCCAAATTCATTTTCAGATCAGTTGGACCAGCTTCTTGCAGCTACTCATCCTACACCTCCTTCAACAAGAAGTTTCCCATTTTTAGTACCTTTGATTACATGATGGGTGTGGGACCATAGGCTAGGGCTATTTTGATTTGCATTTCTCTGATTTCTAGATTCTGGATATTTTTCTTCGGTAGTGATTGATAATGAAACTGCTCTTTGAGACAATGCAAGGAAATGAGAAGGGAGAAAGATTCTTTGAATTGTAAAATTGCTAATATTAAGCTTGTTTTTAAGCTAAAGGAATGATCTGTCAGAAAACCTTCAGGTTTTATTCTTTGGCTTTTTCCTCTCTCTCTCTCTCTCTCTCTCTCTCCCCCCCCCCCCCCCCCCCCCGCCTCTCTCTCCCTTCCCATTTCAAGCATGGACAACATGAATGCTGATTTTCTTATGATTTCATAAGTATGGGGAAAGGAATCTTCCTGGACAGGGAAACTCCTCTACCGAAGCAGATCAGCACCTTCTCTGAAATTTAAGAGTATCAGAGAGTTGAGCGCTGGGTGGTAAACTTGTCCAGAGTCACATAGCCAGTATGGGCAAGAGGCAGGACTTTTACCCAGGTGTTCCTCATTTCTAAAGTAGCCCTCCATCCACTGTGCCATGATACTTCCTAGAGCTCTCTCTCTCTCTCTCTCTCTCTCTCTCTCTTCTCTCTCTCTCTCTCTCTCTCTCTTCTCTCTCTCTCTCTCTCTCTCTCTCTCTCTCTCTCTCTCTTTCTCTGTCTGTCTGTCTGTCTCTCTCTGTCTGTCTCTCTCTGAATCTCTCACTCTTTCTTTCCTCTTCTCCCCTTGCTGCCTTTAAAGCCAGTTTGCACTGTTATCCATACTTTGCCTTTTTTTTTCTCCTAGGATATTAATCTGTCAGCCACAGATGCAATTGGAAAGTAGAAGGCAAGGCATTCACTGTGTTCCATCACACCAATTTGCTGCCGAAAGAGTGCCACATTTGTATTGAAACTACTCTTAATTGCTTTCTTTGAACCCTGGTGGCCAATGCGGTGCCTGCTATGGGTTTGTGTTCACCCAGGTCCTTCTCTCTCTTTGTTTATTCGGCCTGTGTATGAGGAGCCCGCAGCGATGTGATTGGCTGGGGAAGGCCAGGCTGTCTGGGCACATGCAACAGTGCTGAAGAGGATTTGGACACGGCTTCCTTGCTGTCTTTGTCACAGTTGACATTAATTATTGACGGAAGTTTTAGAAATCGCGCATGTGCCGGCTCGGTTGCCTGTAACCTAGCCTCCAGGCAGCGGCAGCGGCAGCGGCAGCGAGAGCGATCCGTGGGCTGCTGGGGAGTAGTAGCACCTGTAGCCTTCACTGGGTGCCCAGCGAGCCTGGGGTGGGGGGGCGCTGGGGCACGCTCTCTGAGCTCTTGGATGATGGGAGGATGAACCGTCAGGCTTACTTCTATCGTGTCCCTCCACAGGAGCTGCACAGGAGGACCCAACTTCAGCCGGAACCGGCAAAGACGAAGGCTCTTCAGACTGTCATAGAAATGAAGGTAGGGGTTGGGCACGCTTGGCAGTGTCAACCAGCTGGTGACGTTCGTGGGCACTTGAGATCGGAAAACATGCACCGAGCCTAAGCATTTGTTATAGCTCTTTGCCTCCACCCCAACAAACAGCCTCAAGCTGATGATTTGTTTTGATGTGGTCTTTTTCTATTTGTGATTCTCAAGCATAGATTCATTAGGGTCTCCTCTTTGTTTAAGGGTCGCCCACTTGAATTGGCTCGGCTGGCAAGCATCAGAAGCCATCTGAAATGGTTAACTACTTTCAAGAATTAAATTTTAAGAAATTGAATACATCTACTTTCCTTCCCCCCCCCCCAATTCAGTGACAAAAGCCCTTTGGAGAAACCAGAGTTTGCCGAAGGAAGGCTTCTTTGTGCCCAACGGAAGGGCCATCAAGTGATTGAAATGACATTACCAGGAAAATTTTTTTTTCCTATAAAAAGACCCTTTCCCTACTGTGTGTGGGTGTGTTAACCTGAACACTATGTCTGAGTCAAGATTAGAGATAATGACAATAGACAAAGTATTTACAAATTTCCCCTCCCACATCCCCTTCCTCCAGTTCAGCTGTGAAGGTAACAGAGGCATGGTCTTAAAAACCTCCTGACACTCTAAGCTGTGTTGGTCTAGCTAGGATGATTAAATACTCACCTGATAAAAATTAGGAATAATGAAACAATAAAATTTTGTGAGGTGATTTAAATGAATGGAACTCAGCTCCTTTTTTTTTTAAATTTTAAAGTGTCTAGTAACTGAAGCCTTTTGACTTGAAAGTTTGACTTCCGAAAAGGAAGCCTGGCCAAAATTTGATGTCCTGAGAAGGGAACTTGACCAAGTCCCACCTTGTTGATGTCACCTTGAAGAAATAAATAACATTAGTCAGTGGGAATGTGTGCCCTTTGACGACTGGGGCGGTTGGCCAAGGTGGTTGTGGGGCTTGGGACCAACTTGTAGGACAACTCTAAAGGATAAAGGAAACACACTGTGCATCCCTGCTTCTGCACAAAGTCCCATCAATATTTAGTGCACACACTTGGATTGTCTGTTCCAAAGACCCCAAGGCCTGGGGAGGAGTAAAGTACTCAATACTATTGACCTTTGCACCCTCTTGCCATCTCTGCCCGTGAGTTTAGAATGTTATCTGGTCAGTGACAGTGGCTTCAGCCAAATACAAAGGCCTTTGGCTTGTAAGGCTTCATCCTGTAAGTCAGGGTAGAGATGAGTCAGCCTATTTAAAGTGGGCTAGGTAAAAACTGGCTTAATGATACACATTATGTTGATAAGAATTTTTATAATTTGTTAGCTTTGGAGAAGCAGAGTTAAGTAGTGTTCCATCTTAAGACAACGGAGAAGACTTTGGAATCAGAACTCAGTTCTAGTCTATAACCTCCCTGGTCCTCAGTTTCCTTATCTGTAAAAGGAGGGACTTAGACTGGGGCCTATTTGTGACGTCCTTTTCAGCTTTAATTCTGTGATGTTTTAAATCGATGTCTTCCAATAAATCTACTAGTCAAGCAACAAACATTTTTTCGGTCCATGCTCTATGTCAGGTGCTCTCCTAGGTGGCTGGTGAACCAAGACAAAAATGAGACAGTCTTTGCCTTCAAGAATACTTTCTACTAAGTAGGCATCAACCCATTAATAAGCATTGACCCTCTCAGTGTCCCAGTGAATCTCTAAGCCTGTAAGTTACAGACAAGGTGCATTGGTGGATGGGAGTTTCTATACTGGGTGTTCCCTGTACCCGTGAAATCACAGGAGCCTAAAATAAGCAACTTACCTGAACAGAGGAAGCTCTCAAAATCTCTGTAGAGAGTGTTAGCGCATCTGTGCTCCTGTGTGGAATATTGGAGAGCTGCTGGCTGTTTTTCAGAAGTGAATACTCTCCCAGCATTAGTGATGGACCTCCAGGGAAGAGAGTTTTATACACACTCTTGGTCCCCTTTCTGATGGCTTGTGATTGTCTTTTTGAAAGGAAAACTAAAAGATGATGAGATTGGAGATTTAGAGCTGAAATAGACTTTTGAGGTCTCACTGCTTTCATCATTATAATTGTGTGCCAAAGACGAATCCCTACCCCCAACTCTTAAAGCCAATAAGTGAAATCTTTCCTGGCAGTTCAGTGGAATGACATGAAGCCCATTTTCAGAGTGAGCACTGATCAACAAATTGATCAATAACTGGAAGCCACAGCATTGCTTTGTGCACATGGCTGGCAATGTTGAGACCATTGGGTTACTTAACATGGCACTTGTTGCTGTGCTAGGGCATGGAGAAATCTGTCATTCGTTAGCATTCCATTTCACCTCTTTAGGACCAGTTCTGTAGCAGGTTGTTAGATGATACCCAGACTCTCTGCATATTTTCTCAGTGCTCAGAAGCTCAGGATCTCCTCTTGTACTACAAGTGATGCTTCTTTTGGGACTTGGATGGGAAACAATTGAGGAGAACTCAGATTCCAGAGCCAACTACTAGGGACCATTTGAGCAAATAGATGACTGTACAATGGGTACAGGATGAATGGAACTGGCATTTCAGCAGTGGCGAGAGCATCTGGCTCTCTCTTGGATAAGATTTAAAATGTAAAGTTTCATGTTAACTTTTGGCCAAGGCTCAGAATTGTACAACCTTTTGCCAAAATTCCAAGTTATATAGCCTTAAAAAAATGAACAAGTGAAAAAGGGAAATGAATTTCTGTGGGATACTGCTTTAGTTGACAATAATCCTTAATCCATACATTGATCCCCTAAATAGCTGCAGAATAACTTTTTGATTTCTTTCATCTGTTATCCATCAGTAAAAGACAGCAGGTGTGAGATTCCGTGAGCTCTTACCCCAAATAAAGTCCTCCTTGGAACCACTGAGAAGAGTTTCTGTTTTGCACATCCAGTGAGTTTCCTGTATTATTCTTTGTGGGACAGATTTTCTGCACAGATCTTGAAATCACTAGATCCCTATGCAAAAAGTATTTATCAGTGAGAGAATATGGAAATGTTATCATCCCAGGTAGACCTGATGGTTTTATAGAGGTATTGTTCAAACCATCTGAGTTAAGATGGAAGGACCTGATACAAATAAAGTTATTTATGGTTTATCTTCTTACAGGGAACACCACGTTTTAATTTTGATCGAGATTTGGTATGGCAGGTATGTTATGTATGGGTTTGCTCTAGAAAATGGCTGGTGTGTTTTAGAAAAAGTGTGTGCCTTTGTAGATGTAGCTGTCTTTCTCTTTTTCTATCTTTAGTGACTCAACTCTTAAGTTTTTTATTTTAAAACAAGTTTCCTCTTTCCATTGTTATAGAACATTATGGACTGTTAAGAAAGCCAGCTCTTCCCCTCCTTTCCCGTCATGGAATCACAGAATCTTAGTGGAGACCTTGGGGACCATCTAGTCTAATTAGCACCTAAATAGTAATCCCTTCTCCAGCCTGCCTGATGTATCATCTTCCAGCTTGAGTCAAAGGTGTCCAGTTATGGAGAATATGCTCCTCTGCCCTAAGGTAGCCCATGCTACCTTCAGATAGCTCCAATTATTTTTAGGTGGTTTCCTTCCCCTGCTCCTCATATCCAGCCTAATCTGGTTCGCAGCTTCTCCTTTTTGCTTCTACTTCTGTTCTTGGGGGCCAAGCAGAAAAAAGCTAATCCTTCTTGAGTCTGCAAACATAATCCAACTGATTTTAATTTTTGATCATTGTAAACTATGGACCTTGTTCCATTTGGGGTTAGATGTAACGGCTTCCATGCCTGTTATTTGACATTATGGAAATGAAACGTAAGAAATAGCAAAATGGACAGGATCTTGTTCAACTAGTCTCTTTAGAGATAGCCAGAGGGGGGCATCTAGGTGGCACAGTGGATAGAGCACTGGCCCTGAAGTCAGGAGGATCCAAATCTGGCCTCAGACCAAATGCTTGACACTTACTAGCTGTGTGACCCTGGGCAAGTCACTTAACCCCAATTGCCTTAAAAAAAAAGTTAGCCAGAGCCAAAGTCACCACTTTAGGAATAGCAAACATCAGGTTATATGGATCAGTCATTTTGTATAAGTTGTGCTGATATAATACGAGGCTACATTGAATCTTATTTCAAGGACTTTAAGGGGTAGGGCTCTGCTCTTGACTGAGTGAGAGGCACATTAGAATTAAACAGCCCCGAGAGTAGTTGCAGTACTTTACCAATAGAAGGAGTCTATTTTATTTGTAAAATTGGAAGCTCAATGGGCTAACTGAAATGAGAGGACCCATCCACGCACAAATCCTTGTTTTGTTTCATTGTGTCAGATGAGGCAGAACTGATTGGTGGGTCGGAGTCTGGTGAGAAAAGTGATTTTCCTAGTATCACAAATTTAGAGTTGGGAGAAACTTAGAGATGATCTAGCCCACTCCCTTCTTTTTATCGATGAAGGATCAAGCCCAGAGAGGGAAGTGATTTGCCCAAGGTCACACAGATAGTGTCAGAGGTGGAATTCTTTCCAAAGTCCTCTGACTCCAGTCCCGTGTCCTTTCCTCTACTCCAGTCTTCCACCCTCTTCAGTTTGAGAACCCAGTTAATTCAACACACATGTACATATAATCTGTTCAATAATATATGCAAGAAATATATGTGCATGCGCGTATAGACATGTATGTATGCATACATGTGCAGGTGTGCACACGTGTTATTCAACACATGTGTATCAGATATTATCTGTGTGACTTTGAGCAAATTCCAAAATGGGAGTCAAAGCAACATCTACCTCCCAGGTTTGTTGTATCAGATGCGATAACACACATGAAGCACTTTGCAAGCCTCCAAGTGCTGTACAGACCCCCGCTATCATGGTTGTATATGCAGGATACATATGAACAGATATGGCTGTTATATGCAGATGTGTATGACAAGTAGGTAGACAATATACACATCCACATATATGTGCATATGCATATTCATATATAAATACATGCACAAACACGCATAGATACCTAAACACACACATGTGGGTCTGTTGTTTCATTACTATTGGGAATTCCTGGGTCAGGAAACTCCCTCTGCTAATGCAGGTTGGTAACATATGTGACCCACAGTCTTAGCTACCTAGAGCCCACAGGGCAGGGGTGCGGAACCTGCATCCTCGAGACCACATGTGGCCATCTAGGTCCTTGTGTGTGGCCTTTTGACTGAGCCCAGGTTTTATAGAACAAATTCTTTTGTTAGGGGGTTTTATTCTGTGAAATTTGGATTCAATCAGAGGGCCACACTTGAGGACCTAGAGGGTCCCATGTGGCCTTGAGGCTGCAGGTTCCCTATCCCTGCCATAGGGGATAAAGAACTTGCTAGGGTCATGCTGCCAGGTCTTTCTGGCTTCAAGGCTAGCTTTCCATCTCTTCCCCTACATTTCCCTGGACCATTGAGCTCACAGGTGTAGACCCTACCCCTAAACTTTGGTCAAAGGCAACATGGATCTGCAGCAGAACTTACTCTCACCTCCTTGTCACCCAGAGTTGGATTTTTAGAGGCCTACCAGCAACCGGGAGTTTATTCTGTACTTGCTCAAAGCATAGAAAAGGACATTGGTGACTTCTTGGCCCTGGGTGGTCTGCAAGCATGGACATCCTCCCTGTCTGCCTACCTTTTCAACCACCTAGGATTCTTTTATTTTTAAACACATTTTAATCAATACTTTCTTCTTCTTACATCATTACAATTATCCCAAGTATCCCTGCCCCTCCCCAAGAGCCTTCCCTGATGATGAATAATAGAACAAACCCAGCCCAGCTGGTCCAGGCGTTGAGAGTCTGAAGGCCTGTGCCATGTGTGATGCCGGTGGCCTCCACGAAGGGGTCGCTTGGGGGCTTCTTCTCCTCTGGCTTCGTTTGATCAGACACCATCTTCTGGTGCACCATCGTTTGTCCCGTTTCTGCTGTTGCGGTGACTGTGTGGAGTGTTTCCTTGACTCTGTTTGCTTCCCTCTGCATCAGTTCAGGGAGACCTTTCCAGGCTTCTCTGAATTCATCACACACGTCATTTCTTACAGCATGGTAATATTCCATTACATTCATGTACCACAATGTGTTGAGCCATTCCCCAGTCCATGGGCATCTGCTTTGTTTCTAATTCTTTGCTATCACAAAAAGTGTTGCTATAAATATTTTGGAGTATATAGAGACTTTCTTCTTATCCACGGCTTACTTGGGGGATGAGCCCAGTAATGCGGTCAGTGGTTCAAAGGTTGTGGACATTTTAGTCACTTTATTTGCATAGTTCCAAATTGCTTTCCAAGATGATCGTACCATTTCACAACAATGTATGTGCTTGCCCATCATTCCATACCCCCTCCCACACTGATTATTGCCATTTTTTTTTTTGTCATTTTGCGGCCCAGTGATTTTTACACTTGATTGACAGCATGGGATAATGGACTTGGGGTCAGAAGAATCTGCATTTCGGTCCTCCCTTGGATACTTATTAGCAGAGTCTCAGTTTCCACATCTGTAAAAGGGGAGAATAGAATCCATAGGTACTACTCCATAGGCTTATCGTAAGGCCCATTATTTTGGAAACCACATACAGAACATTTGGCATTTCTTAAAAGGTTAGAGAAATGTCATTTCTTTGGATCTTCGCCCAAGATCTCTCTGGTCTGGGGGTGCCAGGCACACGCTCTCCTTAGGTTACGTTTGACCTGATTGGGTGCCTGTCCCAACTTGCAAGAAGATCATTCATTTAATGAAAGAAACTGGGCTGATCCTGGAAGTTGCAGTGATCACCTGAGCCCAAAAGGCAACCTGATCCGTGCCCTGGGATGGTCAGGAAGAGGCTTACGCAGCTCTGCCGGCCACGTTTCCTTGGGGATAAGCCGCGTCCATCTTTTTATCCCACAGACTGTGGGACAACTCATGCAAATTATGGCCCCGCATGTCTACTTTGAGCTTCATTGTCCCTGATTCTTCTTAGAGCCAAGTTTGTTTGTGCGGTATCTCCCCCGGTAGACTATGAGCTCCTTGAGAGCAGGGGCTGAGTTCGGCCTTTCTTTGTATCCCCAGTGCCTGGCACACAGTAGGCATTTAATAAATGCTTGCAGACTTGGCTTTCCTTTGAGCCTGGGATATACTTACAGGGGACCCCCCCACCCTGCTCCCATAGTTCTGAGTGTAGCCTGAACCACGGTCTTTGCCCCAGCCTGGTGCACAGGAAGGAGGCAGAGACTCTGGGTTCTAGCCTGACTCTTCTATCAACTGCGAGTGTGACCTGGGCAGATGCCTTTCTTCCTCTGGGCCTCAGTTTCCTCTCTATTGAATAAGGAGGCTGGACTAGATGATTTTCCAGACCCTCTCGCTCTAAATCTGGCTGTGAAAGGTGCTGACCGAAGAGGCACGTTTGAGCTGGCATCCAGCCTCCAGCTTCTCAGTGATGTGACCTTGGGCGTGCGACTCCTTAGCCTCAGCGTCTTCCTGTATACAGTGAAGAGGTTAGACTCTGTGGCCTGAGAGGTCTCGGCCATCTTTTAGTGTGTGGTTTGCAGAATATTCATCTGAGAGGCAGAGACCCTGGGATGGGCCCCTGCGCTCACGTTTCTCAAATGTTTGAACAAAAGCAGGGCCCTTGAATGCTCTGAACCTGTTTGTGCTCCAAACAGTCCCTAAAGAAGACGTTATAAGATCTTAGAAGGCGGGTTGGGGGGACCTTAGAGGTGAAGTCACCTCCCTTATTTTACAGAAGAAGAAAGCGAGGCCCAGAGAGAAGTGATTTGCCCAAGGTCACGTGGGGAATAGTGATAATGGACATTGATGCTGTAATAGGGCCGCTGGATGGCAGAGTGGAGAGAGTGCCAGGCCTGGAGTCTGGAAGACTCCTCTTCCTGAGCTCAAATCTGGCCTCAGACACTTACTAGCTGGGTGACCCTGGGCCAGTCACTTAATCCTCAGTTTGCCTCCTGAGTTTGCCTCAGTTTCCTCAACTGTAAAATGATCCGGAGAAGGAAATGGCAAACCACTCCAGTGTCTCTGCCAAGAAAACCCCAAAGGGGGGCATGAAGAGTCAGACACGACTGAAATGACTGAACAGTCATAACAATAGCAACAATGAAGTTGAGGCAAGATGCACACCCACGTCTTCTTTTTATCTTCTTCCTAGCGCTTAGCACAATGCCCAGCCCACAGCAGGCGCTTGACACGTTTGTTGTTTGATTGATTCAGACTGCAAAGCCTCCATTCTTTCCTGGGCATGCTTTGCTGAATAGATAGAGCAAGGGGCGAGGATTGGTTTTCTTTTTTTTTTTCTTTTAGGCAGTGGGGTTAAGTGACTTGCCCAGGGTCACATAGCTAGTAAGTGTTTGGTCTGAGGCCAGATTTGAACTCAGCTCCTTCTGAAGCCAGGGCCTGTGCTCTATCTACTGTGCCACCTAGCTGTCCCTGAGGATTGGTTTTCTGCTGAATGTGGGAGCAGGCACCGAATGGAAGCCGTCGTAGCCAGGAATGACCGTTGGCCCTTGAGAGTTGATTCATTATGGTCAGCCCTTTCTGAAAGCGGGAGCCTCGTGAGTCGACTTCTGGTGGTAGAGCTGTGACGGTCGTCTCTTGGTATCATTAACATCTCTGCCTTTTTGGCTGGCTTCATCAACGTCTTCAAAGGGCATAATCAACATGATGGCCAGTTGACAGTGATGGTCTGTAGGGCCTTGAGTGGAGAGTCAGCTGGCCTGGTTTCTGTGTCTCACTGTAGACATAGTCTGAAAGATGTTGCCTGACTACTGTTCTGTGATAATGTCGCTGAGGGATTATGTTCAGCTGATAGCTAAACCTAGCTTTGCCTTTGGGTGCTAGACTCTTGAGGGCATTCATCACAGTTTCAGTCCTTTGGCAGCACAGAAACAGTTGAGTTTAGTAACTGGGTGTCAGGAATGCTTAGTTAAAGAGGAGGCTATCCAGTAGAACACTCCTGGTGGCTCCTCCCACTGAGCTCTGCCTTACCCTGCTGCCTCCCCAGAGCAGCAGCCTTCGACTACCACTGGTAGCCTAGTGGTACGCCAGGGTCTCCTGCCTTCCCCTATCATGGCATGGTGTCTTCAGCTCTCCAGCCTACAACTGGAATTTGTCTTTAAAAAAGTGATGTGTATGCGTACTTATGCTTCTTTCCTGGGGATAACAAAAGCTAGTTATAACTCTGGGTTAGCTGATTGCCTAAGATGCTTATTGGTGCCCAAGCAACAAGCTGAGCCATTTGCTTGAGTGAAGGTGGCTGCTAAAATGTAGATTTTTTTATTTTTGCTTCCTTGGCCTTAGCCATGGTTGCCGGGGTGGGTGCTGAACGGAGGCAGCCCTGTTTCCCCTCAGTGCTTCAGATGACCTAGCGCTGGCTGTTTACTTAGGGATTGTAATTTCCTTACTAGCTGGCAGGGGAGCCAGGATGGTTGGGGAGTCGACCACAGGGCTAACGTCAACTCCCCTCTCTGAGTTTCCATCATGATAATGCACTGTCACATGCCCCAGATGGAAAGTCCTTGAGTTTCCCATACATCTGCCTGATGCCCTGTGGGTTGGTCCTGCTTGGACTCATGAGGCCCCTGTGTCAGTTTTCATGGGCCAAACCAGTTTTGAACAGGGATGCCTTAACTGCGTCTCTCAGGATCAGAGGAGTTCAGAGGCAGTGTTGGTGGTGAGCAGAGGACTGGCCTCAGAGGCCAGAAGCCTGGGGCCCAAGTCCAGCCTTTGGCAGATACTGGGTTCTGACTCTGGGCAAGCGACATCTCTTTTGTGTCCAACAATAAGGCACAGAGGAGGCGCCTCTCTGCTACTCTCTCTGCTGGGAGTTCTCCACATTGGTGAAATAGCAGGGCTGGGCCAAAGGAAAAAGGAAGGGTGAAGTGTCCAAAAAGAGAGTTATGGATGTAGCAAAGAAAAGGGGAATTGCCAGGTAGGAAGATTCTGCAGTCTTTTCATGAAAAGTACTGGTTTCAAATTCTCATCTTTCTACATTCCCTTCCCCTTGTCCCACATGGCCACTGACTGACTGCTTGAGGCACTAAGGCTAGGGTGAGGTGGAATTCCAACCACCCCTTAGACTCAGTGATGGGGAGGGGGACAGAGATGGCGAGTCAGCCCTCGGGAGGGGGTGAGGGAATGAGACCCAAGTATGACTGCTTTCTCATCTGGAAGACATTTAGGTGGGTCAGTCCTTCCCCCCTCCCTCTCCAGGACCATCCCTGCTTAGCTCTCTGATCTTCAGAGATGGATGGAAGCACAAAAATAGTGTGGCTTCTAGATGGCAGGAAACCTTCCCCCAAGGACCATGCAGACACGTCTCTTTTGGATTACCTGCCCTATCATTTCATCCACCGCAGGCAGCCAACAGAAACTGTCATTGTATTGTGTTTTCCCAGGTGTCCTTGGGAGTCTCTCCTTTGTGGACTTTTGTGGCAATTTAAAAGTCTCTTCTTGGCCTCCCATCAGACCCTGATTCTTCCATGCCCAGTTACATGCCCTAGGTAGTCTCAGGTGCACCTAGGTAGGCATTCAGGGCTGTGGAGACTTTGTCATGGGGAATGCAGCATGAAGCTTCTCTCTGTTAATGTAGGTTGTAAACCTTCTGTGATTTCCTAGACAGGTCCCAGGAATTGCTTGTAGCACCCAGAGATCCAGGGACTTGGCAAGCAGCAGGAGCAGCGTGCAGAGATTGTGCTATGGCCTTGGAGACAGAAGGCCTGAGTTCACATCCTGCCCGCGTCTCTTACCAGCTGTGTGACCTTGAGAAAGTCACCCCTCTCATTTTCCTCATCTGTTAAATGGGGAAAATAATAGCACTTACCTACCAGGGTTTTTGTGAAGATGAATTGAAATCATATACATACATATACGTAGGTATACACACACACATACACTATGTAGGTATATATTATATGTATAGTGTACACACAGGTAGACATGCATGTATACATATATAATACATATGTGTGTACATGTGCATGCACATAATACATATATTGTTTTGCAAATCTTAAAGTATTATATACATACGTGTAAGTATTATCCTTTATTGTTATTGTTATTATTACGCTGGCCCCCTCTAATAATGAATATCAGAGGTGAGAGCCCTACCCAGGCCTTCCCTGCTCCAAGGCCATGGCTCATTCAGCTGTGCCATACTGACTTGGCAGGGGGTGGGAGATAATTTTTTTCTTAAATAAAATATAATTAGGATATTTAGAAGGAATAGAACTAGAACACAGTGTGCCCTTAAGCCAAATAGAAATCATTTTGCACTTAGCATGCTATCGTTTGCTTCCACAAATGTGTGGACCTTTGAGAGTTGTCTTTATACCTTAAGGAAACAATTTATGGAGCTGGAATTTGGGGAATTTTTTTGAGGCTGCTGATAGCTTTTATCTACCTATGTGTTTTTCTCCTTCAGTCTTCATGTTCCTCATCATTTGATACTGTTGATCTTTCTTTCTTTCTTTCTTTCTTTCTTTCTTTCTTTCTTTCTTTCTCTCTCTCTCTCTCTCTCTCTCTCTCTCTCTCTCTCTCTCTCTCTCTCTCTCGTTCTCTCTCTCATTCTCTTGTTCTTCTCTCTCTCTCTCTCCCCCTCCCTCTCCTCTGTCCTCTCTCTCTTCTCTCCTCTCCTCTTCCTCCTCCTTCTCTCTCTCTCTCTTTCTGTCTCATTTTTATATCTCCCAAATTCCCCCCCTCCAGAGAGCAAACTTTTAGAAAGATGAAAAAAGAAGAAAAAAAATATAAAGTTATAGACCATATTCCAAACCCATAGTCATTCACTTCTGCCAGAGCAGGGCTGGGTGCCTGGGTGGGGGCAGTACTACTGCTCTCTGTATTCCTTCAATTACTTTTATTCTTATTTCTCTCTTTTACTATATCTCATCACAGTTTAACTTTAGTGGTAAATTTAGTATTTTTAAAACACAATTTTACTGATAGCTTTTGTTTTAAGGTGAACTATATTTTCCAATGTATTTCATCTCCCTCTTTTTAGTAAGACATCCCTTGGAGCAAAGAATTAAAAAAGAGAGGGGAAAATTCCCCAAACTAATCAATATATTAAAAAAATCTGGCAGTGTATACGATGTTATGTACCTACAGTCCCCCACCTCTGCGGAGAAGCTGAGGGAGGTATCTGCTCCTATCTTCTCTTTGGGACCAAGTGGGCCATCATGATTTACAGCTTCCAGTTTCTCTCTTTCTTTCCATGGAGGGAAGGAAAGAAACATTTATTAAGCACTTGGAGGGTACAAATGGAAGCAAAAAGACAGTCCCTGCCCTCATAAAGCTTGCATTCTGAAGGAAGGCAGTACCTAAAAGGGAACAGAAAAGAGGGGTGGGGAGGATGGGAGGTCCACAGTGTTAGAGTCTAGAGGTCAGGATCAGGGCCTAGAGGGGCATGAAGGCAGGTGGGCCTAGGTCCTTTCACAAAATGGAGGCTAACCAATGGAGAAGTCCCCAGTAGATCACAGTACAATGTTTAAAAATAGTATTTTTATCTCTACGAGTTAAACTATAATTCAATCTCCTTCAGTATTTGGGATTTTTCATTAACAAAAAATATTTGAGTTCATTCTACTTATAAAAGGCCAGTTCATATCTTCTTATGCTACAGTTCTTTTTTTCAAGGTCTGATGATTAAAAACAAAAAATAAAATCCAACTCACCACCAGTGATGAGCCATGAGTTCTGTTTTTCTCATGTATCTCATGCCAAACCTTTCCTTCTGTCTCTAGTGATTAACTTGGCCCCTTAGAACAGTGGTTAGCCCCACACAATAAATCCTTCCAGAGACAGCCCGGCTTTACATGGCCAGAGGTTGTAGGTTTGGAAAGTTCTACTCCCATCCCCAGCAAGAGAGATTTTAAAAGGGAAGCCGACCAGAGCCTCTGTGGTGTCCAGTAATAATAGTTTCAGGTTTTATTCTAAATAGAGGGTAATATAATTATGCAGGGACATTTCCTTCCCATTGGATCATGTCTTCTTTAGACTACGTTGACCCTTTTCGGGTCACTCGTCTTCCGCCGTGTGCCTGGACTGAAGCACAGTACCCAGCAAGCTCTGTGGAAGACCCTTTATCAAAATGGAAAGAAAAGAGATCGGCATTCATCTTTCATAATGAATTACTGATCGCTTCTTAGCGCACGTGGAAGGAGAGTACGCGGTGACGCCCAGCAACGGCCCAACTGTCACAGCGGATGACTCAATTGTATTGCCTTTCTGATTTCCGCCTACTCCCTCCCTCCCTCCTTCCCCCGCGGCGTTCTGCTGTTCCTAGAGAGGAACAGAATCTGTTTCTCAGTTGCTTAGCAGGATATCATGTTTGATGTTCAAAAGGAGAAGTAATGGCAGCCAACGGGGAGAAAAGGGTCCCCAAAGTCCTTCGGAGTGGTGGCATGCATGCATATGTGCCTATCTGTTTTACGTAGGCGCATGAGCACATACATTGTACATGGGCATGCACATAACTTGGGGCTGTGTTTGCAGTTTGTTTTTTAAATGTTCATTTTAACTCAATAAGACAGTAACACAAAAGCCCTTTGCTTTCTCTTCACCCTCGGAAATTTTTCTTCTGTTAATTTATCGAGAATTTTGTTGTTGTTATCATTATTATCATCATTATTTATATCGTAATAAAATGAGAACCAATTTCCAAGATCTACAAAACATTTTCCTGTCAAAAATCCTGTGAGATAGTATGAACATCTTACCCCATTTTATTAATGATGAAACTGAGGCTCTGTGTGAATATATGTGTATATTATATATGTATGTATAAATATAAAATGGTGATATGTAACACAGGTAGGGAATTCTTCATAAATAAATCCCTCTGCTGATATAGGTCAGCAAATCCTCTATAATTTATGATTTCTAGATTCTCTAACTGAAATTTAGCATTTTCTTTAATGATTTAAAAACCCAATTCTGTGAAGGAATCCAGGAGGCTTCACCAGACTGCTAAAGAGGTCTGTGACACAGAAAGGGTTAACAACATCTGTCTTAGAGAGTCGCCTAGAACAGAGGGGTCAAACAGGGGGCTTCTGGGCCCCTCAACACTTCAGATGAAGATAAAATGGGGAAACATTTAATAAAATAAATAAAAACATAGTTGAACACAGATGACGTTCGTATGTGGTTTTCTAAGTCAGTATGTAGCTAGCAGGGATCCTGATGTAGAGTGTGGTGGCCCCCTTTCCACTTGAGTTGGACGCCCCTGGCCTGGAAAACTAGAGGGTTCAGTAGCTTGCCCGTGTTCAGAGAGCCTGTATCTCAGAGGTGGGACTTCTGGTGCCAGGGCCTATTTTCCAGCCACAGAGTCTTGCTGCCACTCCCACGTGTGGCTGTGTGTACAGCGTAATGACACTAGCATTTATGTGGAACTCTTAAGATGTGCTCAGTACTTTACATATTCTACCTCATTTGATCTTCACTACAACCTTAGGGGAGAAGTGCTGTTGTGGGAGATCTGAGGCTGAAGATCCCCAGGGTGGCCAAGCATAATTTAGTTAACTTCTTAGAGTCTCTGTTTTCCTCCTCAGTAAAGGTGGGACAATGATATTTGAACTGCCATCCTCCCTGGTTCATTGTGGGGAGAAGGGTCTATAAACTCCCTCATTTTTCTTTCCTATCATGTTACCATCTTGGAGAACCATGGACCCTGGGGTCCTCCTTTACTGGTTGGTCATTCTCTCACCAGGGCCACCATTTCTGGGAGAGGGAGAGAGAGACAGAGAGTAACAAACAAGTAGACGCTGGGGCTAGAGAAGAAAAGTTCAGAGAGAGGGTCCAGGCATAAGCAAGATGAAGCCTATCTGGAGTCTTTCCTACAAGTATAATCAAATCCCCCATTTCTTTCAGTATCCTGGATTTTCACTGGTCTACATTGTTTTTAACTTATGAAGGCACTCTTTTACTATGTCTTTATTTATTTTGGGCAGCTTTATTTATTTATTTTAAGGGCAGCTAGGTGGTGTGGTAGATAGAGTGCTGGGCCTGAAGTCAGGAAGACCTGAGTTCAGATCTCACCTCAGACACTTAGTAGTTCTATGATCCTGGGCAAGTCACTTCACCCTGTTTGCCTCAGTTTCCTCCTCTATAAAATGAGCTGGAGAAGTAAATGGCAAACCACTCCAGTATCTTTGCCAAGAAAACCCCAAATGAGGTCACCAAACATCAGACATGACTGAAATGACTTAAAAACAACAAAATCACTTCCTTATTGGCTGTTCCTGCCCTTTGCTTTTGAGGCCAAAGATGATGCTCCTTAGAAGAGAAGACAGATTAGAAGTTGAACAGTTATATCTCCTCTTCTTCATTAGTAAGCTCATCCTGTCTGAGCAAATGTCCAGTCTCTTCTTTCATCCTCTTGGATGGGTTGCAATCTTCACCCACATGGGTGAGATGAGAGCTTCTTCAAGGACAGAAAACAACCTGGAATAATGGAACCAGAAATAAGACAGGTTGGGGTGAGGGAGGGGGAACCTGTGAAGGTGCCTCAGACATGAAGGACTCATCCTGGGCCTTCTAGGTTCCATGGCCTTGACATTCTGCGTACTCCTTTCACTGTTCTTTTGCTTGTAGGAGATAGCCCATCTAACAATTTCCTCCAAACTGCCTCACTGATCACATTAAATTCAGATCTACCCTAGCAAAGTGAAGGAAGGTGATTACCCAGGTAAATCAAGGAGGGAAAAGGCTTTACGCTGACTTCCGAATATTAAGAAAATTATATTAATTCTGTAAGGGACTTTTTTTCATGTAGATCTTAGCTAAGACAAAAAGACGGTTGGTTTGCAGACTCACTCCATTTCATTATAATTGACAGAAACTATAAAAATGAAATGGGAAAAACATCTCAAACAAATAGTACAATAGACTGAGATGTATTTTGATCAAAAAAATTCACAGAAAAAAACAATCTTCTCAACACTTTCCTTTTATTGGACTCTTGAAGTTTAAAAATGATGATAACAATAATAGAACAATAATAATCTTAAGACAAGACTCCTGTATTTTCTAGTTTTGCCTCAGTTTCCTTGTCTATAACATGACAATAGTGATCCTTCCACCTTGTACCTCCTAAGGTTGTTGGGTAGATCAGATGAGCCAACATACGTAAAGCATTTTTAGCTAACTGGTGCAGTGGATAAAGCAGTGTCTCATGGACTTATGATATCATTCTTTGGTTAAGAACGGAGGGTTGGATTTGGAGTCAGAAATGCCTGAGTTCAAATCCTGAATCAGACATTAACCAGCTGCATGACTGAGGGCAAGTCATTTAACCCCTATGGGGTTATTTGGTGTCATTTTAGAATCCCAAAGGTGTGTCTTTCTTGGGTGTGTCTACCTTGTCCTGAGCGTGTCTAGCAGTGTCTTCTGCAGAAGCTGTTATCAGCTACAGCTTTGGGGGGCACACTCCACTACCAACCTTGATGGGAAGTCCAAGTCTTCTGACCTTTCAAAATTCACCAAGTCTTCAAAGGGCTCAGGGGAGGAGAGAGTTCCATTCTAGACTGGCCTTTAGCTAAATACTCCTACTGGAACACTCAATTGTGAATCAGCTTGCTGTTCTATGTATAGCCTCGGAGGTATGTCTGATTCTTTCATTGAATCCAAACACATCTCCTGTGTGGCTCCTCTGATTACATCCATTGATCACAATATTTCACTCCTTCCAAGTTAATTAAGGACTTGCTCACATTTAGCTTATTCTTTTGATTTATTGGTTGATTCAGTAGAGATATCTGGGCTTTTTGTAGTTACATTTATTGGAGGAGGAGAGCGCATCCTCCTTACTGATGCCAGTAGGTCTCAGGAAAGAGGGTCCTCAGTGTTTGAGGTTAAGCAGATGAAGGAGGTGGCTTTCTACTTATTAGCAGAGCAGGAGCCTCCTGATTCAAAATTGCCTTCTTCCCTGGAAAAGTGGGAGTGCAGATCTTCATGAACTTCAGGTCTTACTGACTTATGGAATGGAGGAGGAGATGAGTAGTAGGTATGGGGACTAGTGTACAAAGTGACCCCAAAGCTTTGTGCCATTTTAATGGAACTAATAGTTTAAAACCGTACTAAGACTTTTGGAGCATGTTGTATGATCTAACAGCAATATTTTAGCAGTTTCTCTCTCTTAATGACTTTGGTGACTAAAAAGAAATCTTCACTCCTAATTCCTCAAAATGAGGTAGATAGGAGAATTAGTTGCAAGAGCCGCCATTTTCTTTGCATCCCAGTTCATGAGCTGCATTTCTATCACCACTGCTTGGCGTTCCTGGCCATCTCCCCATTTGTTCAAGTACAAAGGTCATTGTCTTCTGAACCTGAGATCCCCTTTGTCTTCTTTATCTCCCACTCTTGGAGGGAACTGAAATAACGTTCTCACGTTTCTTTCCTGCTGGGCACAAGACTTCCTGTAGATTGCCAGGGTCAATTTCTGCTTCCTTTGAAGCGGTCTTCCTAAATGGGGACAGGGTTATTACTGAGAAAGCATATCCTTCCTGAAGTGTCTCCTACAATACCCATTCATTCTTCTTCTAGCTTGAGATAACGCAGAACACCTGTGGCTGAATCAAAGTAAAGAGGATGTTCGTTAGTTTAGGAAAATTGCCCTAAATCCAAAGCCATCTCACAAATTTGCTTTTTACCCCCCAGTAGAATTCAGCTTCCAATGGGAAGAGCCCAATGAGTTTTTGCTAAATTATGGAACTTAACTTTCTATCCA